ACGAGCCTCTGCCAATCTCCGTTCGTTCTCTTCTTTTTCACGAGCTTTCATAAGCTTTTTTACCTTCTCTTCTTGTTCCAGATCTACCTTTACTTTTTTCTCATTTTCTGCCTTCTCAGAAGCTTCTCTTTCTCTCCTGTCAGTTTCTTCCTTTACACGAGCATCTTTAGACCTAGTTTCCTCCTCCATCCGCCTCAAGGCCTCATTCAGCTTTGTCTCACTCTCGTCTGCTTCACCACACATTCCCAATTTTTTACCATTTCCTTTCAATTCCGGGGAAACCTCTAGTGTGCTTTCATTATCTGCTAGACCAAGAGCCTCCCTGAGCTTTCTCGCATTTTGTTCCCAATCAAACATACCAGGATTTGCAGCTGCTTTCTGATGTGGTATTCTATCCGATTGTTGATCTTGTAAGCTCTTTGTTTTCTCTTCACAGTGCAATTCTTTCTTTAGCTTTGCGAGCTTTTCAGTTAAGAGCTTGTCTTCTTCTGGTCTAAGCAAATTTCTGTGTTTCATTCTCCCACCATGATCAGGCAAATTGTTGCCTATCTCAAACTCTAGCTCAACATCCCTCAACTTGTCATTCTTTGGCTCTTCAGGAGCCTTTTCTGCAAGCCTGTCCTCATGTCTCTTATGCCTAGATGCAACCTTTCTCGTTCCAGGGTGTTTTGGCAACCTCTTAGCTTCGTGATCCTTCCTATCTCCTTTTCCTCTCCTCTGCTGTTTCTCCCATTCAACATTAGCCGCCCATGTAAGCTTCTGATCGAAAAACCCTGCATTAAGAAGAAAAGAAACATCTTTTCCACCACTGTTCTCATCAGCATTTCTGGGTTGCTCTGTTCTAACCAACTCAACAAATTGGGTAGCCTCTTCCCATTCATCATTTCCATCAGAGTTTGCAGACCCTTGAGAAGAGAGAGACTTACTTCCACGTTTATCTCTCAGAGATTTCGTAGCTACGTCAATATTGTTCTCAACAGCAGGCAAACCAGCTGTATGACTCGATTTCCCTTCCCCGTTCATTCTATTTTTCATGGAGGTTTGTTTCGTGGTGGTCCGGGCCCCATCCCTCTTCCTTTCCAACAG